TGATGAGTTTACTTTTAGATTAAAATGAGACTTGAGAGGACTGTGGGAAAGTCAAGGAGAGCTATTCAGTCAGGTCCAAAGAGCGAGTGCGGGGAAACCACATAAATTCCTTGGACATTTTGAAAGGGATCCCAGGGCAAATTCTAGGTCAAAATTTCTACCTGGCTTGCCCTTCATGTCCCTCCACTTACTCCATTGGATTCACTAAGGTCTACACCTGCTCTGGGAAGTCCTATATGCAGCAGACAATCAGACATAGAGGTTTGTTGCTCAGAAAAGATATCTTAGCTAGACATAAAGATTCCAGACTCCTAAGCATACAGAATAGACTGTAAGTGAAGCTGTGACATTGCTCAGAAAGAGAAAAGGAATGTAGGATATAGGGAGGAGGAAGAGGAATCTGTGAAACTGACTGAGCATAGTGGTCTTAGAGGTGGGAGGAAAACTAGGAGGTGGACATCATGGAAGCTCTGGGTAAAGAGTGTTTCAAGATGGGGAAAGTGGAGACTAAGGTAAAATGGTTCTGAAACAGTAAGAAGAGAATAAGAAATTTCTGCTGGATTTAGCAATACACTAGCGATTGATCACCTCAGTGAGAGGTGCGGAAAACTGATGAGGGTCAAAGTCAGACAGCAATAGATTGAGAAGTGAGGACTAAGAAAGTCGGGATTCTTTACAGAGAGTAGACAATACTTTCAGGATTTTGATCTATAAAGCTTAGGAATGAGGGTAACTGGAAAAGCTTGGTAATGAAGCAGAAGGTTTTCAAGATGGGGGATTTGAACATGCTTAAATGCTGATGAGAGGCGCCAAGAGAAGGAAAGATTAAAGTCCGTGATCCGTGAAGAATAGGATTTGAGATAATGGGCACTGGTTTAGATCTTCGCTTTTATGCCCCAATCTACCAACAGGTCGGTATGGGGATTCGGGAGAATGGCCAGAGAATAGGTAGGTCCCCCTGCAGTCACCTGTTCCACATTCTGGGGGTCTCTAGAGGCTTAGTCCTATCACCTTTCCATTCTAAGCCTTAGTCGCCACAGAAGAAACTTCTGATATTTGAATCTTCCACTTTTAAATCAGTGGACATGCTGCCCAGAACAAGTATGACTATGGATTAACTATGTATCTGCTTTTAAAATTAACCCTTAAATGTCATCTTCAGCTAAAATCCTTGCCTTAACCTTACCTGTCCTCGGGTAAGTTGAGAGAGACAGACATACGTCCACTTTAATCCATTTAAAGATTTCATAAACCCACCAACTCCAGGTTATGTCTGGTTTTGTGGTGAATAGTAGTTCATAATCAGGACACCTCAAGAATACTCAAGGACAGGTTTCAAGTGTATATCAACCCCAGAAATGTTAAGGAAAAAAAATCTATATACAATGTGCCTTGTTTCTTCTGAGACACATCCACTGATTCTCAGATTGTTAAGAGAATCTGTGATCCCAAGTCTAATGTGGAGATAGTGCTCAAGCTGATAATTTTGGAGGGATTTGAGCTGTTATGGCAGGAGGGAGTCCCCTTTCCTCCTTCTCCTTCCCCTCCTATTCACAGTTCCTTCCAGGGGGCCAAAAGGTAACCAAGAAAAATGATGACTATCAGGAAGGATAAAGAGAATTACAAGAACATGGAAATGTAAGGTTGTTTAACTGACATCTGATTCAGAACTCTCCATGTGAACCCAAGTATTTGGTTTTCAGTTCTAAAGAGATCATTTCCTAGATTGAAAATGTGAAAAAACAAATCTAAGCTTATGCAGCATGTTCTAGAAAAAATTTTATTTTCAGTATTATAGTAGAAAATTGCTACCCTTGCTTAAGGAACCCAAATTAATCCGACTTTACTCAGAATGCTGTTGGCAAATATAATAAAAATAAGAGGTAGGCTTGTCAGTGAGGTGATGTTACATTAAAGCACAAATCTGCTGCTCTTGTTTAGGTAGAACAGTCCCAGAATTGGCAACTAATGACAACACATGGGAATAAATAGAACAAGTGTAGAAAACAGATGTCAGAGTTTACCTTTCCCATCAAGCAGTTTGGATTATGGCTTTAGGCACATATCATAACAAATATGTTAAGAAATATCTTGTGCAATGTGTATATTTGCAACTGTTTGTGCTAAATTTTAACCCATATATGTTGCTAATAAAAATCCTAGAACCTATACATGATAATATTGTGAATGTGAAATGACAGCTAAAATGACTTGTTACATTTTATTTATAAGAATTACACATTTTTTAAATGATTCTTTTTGGTTCCCACATTTCCAAAACCCAGATTGACAAGTTGAGGAGTTGCATTTGGTTTTCAGATGGATGACAGGCACCAAAAAGAATCTGATTAGAGAGGGAAAAAGTATAAACACATATGGGAAGCATACTTCTGCTTTCATAATACTATCTCAGTTTCAAGAAGCAATGCTTTAGATTCATTCAGCATATTACACATGGGTCAGACACACAGATATTTTAATTCAATCTTAGAAAGCCTAAGATTAGTAATTGTCTTCATGTCTGCTTGTGAAAAATAGGCAGTTTTTCTTTTTTTTTTTTTATAGCAGGAATCTCACTAATTCAAAATCTGTAAATGACTTTAAATTGTGCTCTGGCTATATAAATCCAGCCATAAAATATCCTTAGTGATAAAGTTAGTCATTCAAATAAATTAAGCCAATTAAAACCCCAGAATCAAGTCATTCCTTTTCTTTATGAATACAGTGAAGCTGTATCTCCAATTATAGACAATTTTCAGAACTCAGGAGACAACTCAAAAGAGTTATCTGGCTACTATGTTGCCTTTATACACATGGCATCAAATTGAGAAATCTGAAAAGCTCAGCATATAAAGTTTGATAACTGCTGGCTCAAATGCCTTTTAAAAAGTTTCTAAGAAACTTCAAGATGTATACTTGCTTGCCAAGTAAAACCAAGTCACCACCAAGTTTCCTTTAAGTAGCCATGAGAAAGTTTATAAGAATCTCCTGCACTTAAAAAAAAATTAGAAATGCAAAGACAACATTAAGAAGAAGAAAACAAAACTTACTTTTTCTTAAAGCCGCTTCTTCCAACAGTTTAAACAGGATGAAAGGAGAATATATGATGGTTTACTTTCTCCTCCAACACATTCATATGTTACCTCCAAGAGGTACAGAATGGGCCACCAAAACTATCTAAGGGTCCCTCCCAACTGCAGCCTTTGTAACTTTGAGGGAGAAAATAGAAGTGTGTGGGTTTCCTCCAAGTCTTGTGACATGTACATAGCTGACTCCTACTGGGCTGAAAAAGCACTCGTCAATTTTTACTTAAAATTATGAGTAGCAAGTTCTCTGCAGGACATCCTTAAAGGGAAATCCTGCCAGAATTAGTACATGAAACGTCTAGATAATCCAGAAAATTTAAAATATAAAGTGCACATACAGACATTCACATACACTCAAGAAATTTCCACTGCCTAGGCTAAATGGAGGGTATACGTAAATTAAAAATTTTTTTCTATGAAGGATGATGTATTTCCTGTTTTTTTTTTTTCTTGTTCTTGTTGCTGTTATTTCACTGACAGAATCCTTCTTATGGGTTGCTGTGTTCTGGGCTCAGTCGCTCAGTTGTGGCCGACTCTGCGACCCCATGGACTGTAGCCCGCCAGGCTCCTTTGCCCATAGGGATTCTCTCCAGGCAAGAATACTGGAGTGGGTTGCCATGCCCTTCTTCAGAGCATATTCCCAACCCAGGGATCGAACCCATGTCTCCTGCATTGCAGGCAGATTTTCTACTGTCTGAGCCACCAGGGGAGCCCCCAAATACTGGAGTGGGTAGTCTGTCCATTCTCCAGGAGTTCTTCCCATCTCAGGAATCGAACCAGAGCCTCCTGCATGGCAGGCGAATATTTTACCAACTGAGCTAAAATCAGACCTTCTCATAGGTTAGAAATGGACAAACTACAGAGTTTTTCTGTTGAAATATCTGGAAAGAGATGAGGCCCGATGTTCTCACCTGTAGCGTTTTTGGTAGCTTGAGAGATGAATCGTGGGGTGTGGCCTCTATCACTGTCTTCCTGGGAAACTGGTGAACTTTTAGCCTTGGATTTGACTCGGATAACTCCAAGAAGTTACCTGCTTCCTGCACCTGTATTGTGGACCTGGCATTCCCTGCTGCTGCCTCATTCCCTATGAGCTGGCAACAATTGTTAAGTCACGTCCACGGCTGTGTGACTTCATCTAAGCACAGACTCAGTCTTTTGAAATCTGAAGTCAAAACTTAAAAAGTGGCCAGATATTTCAGGAGTTGGATCTAAAGAAATGTTTGAATACTGAACTAATCTACAACTGGAATTCTCAGTGGGTCATATTTATCTTAAAGCAAGTAACATTTACTTTTAATCTCTCTAAGGCCATTTCTTCAGTTTGTAAAGGCGGGTGAGGAAGGAAATGTTCTGCTTTAATTCCATCTATTCCCAGACCAAACTTGAACTGTCCTTGTTCCAGGTGGCAAAGAAATATGTTAATGTTTTCTGAGGTCAAACTCAGTTACATACAATCAAAAAACTTGAGCTAGGGAAATATATAAAGGCAATCAATTCAATGCCTTGTTATTCACCTGACTTTGATGATAAAGATATTATGAAAATGAAAACATTGTGATGAGCAGCAACAAATTGATTCAGTGAAAGGACACGAGAACATTCAAACTATTATAAAACATTCAATCTCACATAAAATCTATTATTAGTAGTAGCTTTTAATTCTCATGACGCCACGGATAGACCGGCATTAATTTTCTCCTTTTAAAGGTGAGGAAGTGGAGTCTGGGAGTTATAAAGTCGCCTATGTCCCCATGAAGTTATGGAACCCCCTTTAGTGCCCCCGTGTTTTCGTGAGAGGGTCATCTTCATTCACGCATCCAACCTGAGATCCTCCTGTTCCATTCTCAAACTACTCCACATAGCTCCATTAAGCCCATAAAATATCTTAGTTAACACTCCTGTCTTTAATCTTACCTGAAATTTCTCATCTCTGCCATGTCCATTTCTTTTTGAAGCTCTCTCCCCTTGGTTTCACTAAGTTATTCTCCTAATTTTCTCCTTGGGCTTAGCATCTTCAGCTTCCTCTCCCTTTATTCACCTCACCCTTCCTTAGAACTTCATTCTCAGTTCAGAATGCTTCTCTACACTCTCCATGGGTTTTCTCATGAAAACAATTAACAATATATTATGACTCCTAAACCTGTATTCTCAGCTGGTATTGCTCTCTATGGTTCTAGCCTGTATCCTGTTGTCTCTTCGCTGTCTTTGCACAGAGGTCCCTAGGCATCCCAAACTCAGCAGTCCCAAACAAACACCTTCATCTTTTCCCCACCTCCCACTGTACAGATGAGGTCTGCTGTATTTCCTGTCTCAGGACATGGCACAATCACCTAACCCATCATACCTTGGACTTCTCACTTTCCTCAGTTAGTCTCCACCATCCCCATCATTCATCCTCATCTGCAGCTTCTGGTGGTTCTGCTTTAAGTATTTCCTAGATTTGTCATTATCCCTGCATTCTGGCCCTCACATTTCTCACTTGGATAGTTGTTATCAGTCATAAAACATTTGGCATCTGCCTCAGTCTAGTCCCCTTCTATAATTTCTTTATATCACTATAAAACAATATTTAAAGATATGTTTATTGAATTATAAAATACATGCTTCTTGCAGAAATCTGAAATAATGAAAAAAATTGTTTAAAATGACTTGCAATTCAAGAGACAGTCACAATTCATCACTCAAATATCTTTGAAATATTCTGTATGCATACATGTAGTTATACAAGGAAATGTTTATGTAAATATTTTCATGCAAATGCTTACACAGTTATAGTTAAATATGTTTAATAAGAAAATCAAAACCATACTGCATATATCTTTTTTACTTAATATACTGTGAATGATTTTCCAAATCAAATATTTTTGAAGTGGCTGCAAATAATGGCTGCAACATAATGAAGTATGTGGTGGAATAATGCTTCCTCTTTTTTCTCTATGATCTGTTTTCTTCAACACCACAACTTAGCCCGAGCATTTATAATTTATGACTCACAAGACTTAGATTTGGTGGGAAAGAGGGAAGAAAAAAAAACAGAACACTCTAAGTTCATTAATTTAAACTTAAACATTTAAGGCTGCACTTTACTAGTAAGTAAAGACAGTTCAGTAGGAAAACAATTTGCTAAAATGATTTTTTCTTCTTTATAATGAATAATAAACACAGGAGAAAACCTGTGGGGATTCTGTCTTAGCTTGACTGGTCAGACAAAGGACTTTTCTTTGGTGGAAGACTGCTTCCTCTCCTTGAGAAGAGGTATCATCCACATTTCTCTTCTATCAGAGACTGGGGGAGAAAGATTTGTACATGTTTTTAAGTTCACGTTTTCCTTCTCAGGAGACATTGATCTCACAAATAATACATACATTTTAAAGGATTTTGGCAAACTGTCAAATTGCCTTTCAGAATGAATGATCTCTTTAAAAGACAATCACCTCACTTCCCTGGTTAATCTTTAAAGGCAATCTCTTGCATTTAGGAGAATGGCTAACTTCTCATCTTAGCATGTAAGCCATTTTGTGATTCCTTCTTCTCTAGTCTCTCCAGCTTCATCTACACTACTTCCCAAATCATTTTTCATATTTCTCATACTTTAGGGATTCCAACATTTCTCATTTCATTTTCCGCTGCCCAGAAATGCCCTTACCAGGCTAGTCCTACTTTTCTTGAGGGTCGCCTCCAGCTGGTTCAGTTCCCCTCCCTGCAGTGCAAGAGTTTGACTTCCTTCTCCTATTACACCCTCTGCTTGCTGCTCTCCAAACACTGTATTGAACTAAAACTGTTGATTCTTGCCATCACCTTGAAAGCAAGACACATTTTTAAGATTTGTGTTCTTATTCTTTGTACTTAGTTGTCTCACAGGATCCAGGAGATTATTGAGCCAAGGATTGAAACTCACCATGTCCTCCCTTTCCTCCCTCACACCCCAATATAATCCCTTCCTTCCTGCTCTTCAAACACATATCCAGGTTAAGTCTTACTACTAATCATTGAAGAGGAACAGAGGTGCAAATAAAGACAAGCCTGGTAAAACAGATAAAACACAACATTGGGAACTTTAAAAAATTTAATACCTGTTTAATGTAGTCGTTCTTTCTTTTTGTGTGTGATGTAAATGGAATAAACAGTTTTTGAAGGTCCAGAAGTCAGGCTTTCTTTCTTAATGGTTTGGAAAAAGTATGACCTGGGTTCTATTTTTTTTAAAATTTATAGTTGATTTACCATGTTTCAGATAAATAGCAAAGTGACTTTTTAATCATACATATATACACACACACATATACATATATGTGTGTACACACACAGACACTTCCCTTGTGGCTCAGATGGTACAGAATCTGCAATGCAAGAAACCCAGGTTTGATCCCTGGGTCAGGAAGATCCCCTGGAGAAGGAAATGGCAACCCACTCTAGTATCCTTGCCTGGAAAATCTCATGAACAGAGAAGCCTGGCAGGCTACAGTCCATGGGGTCACAAATAGTTGGACACAACTGAGTGACTAAAACACACACACACATATATACCTTTCAGATCTTCCCCCATTATTGGTTATTATAGGACATTGAATATAGTTTTCTGTGCTATACAGTAGGTCTTTAGTACCTATTTTATCCCAAACTCCTCTAACTTATCTCCCCTCTACCCACTGCTGTCCCCTCTGGTTTGTTTTCTATGTTTGTTTGTTTTCTACGTCTGTGAGTCTATTTCTGTTTTGTAAATAAGTTCATTTATATGGGCTTCCCGGGTGGTGCTAGTGGTAAAGAACAGAACTGCCAAGGCAGGAGACATGAGACTGCGGTTTGATCCCTGGGTTGGAAAGATCCCCTGGAGGAGGAAATGGCAACACACTTCAGTATTCTTGCCTGGAGAATCCCATGGACACAGGAGCCGAGAGGGCTACAGTCCATGGGGTCACAGAGTCAGACACAACTGAAGTGACATAGTATGCATGCATTTTTTAGATTCTATGTGCTACCGTGTCTCTCTGACTTGATTCACTTAGTATGAAACTCTAGGCCCATCTGTGTTGTTGCAAATGGCATTATTTCATTCTTTTTTAATGGCCGAGTACTATACTGTATGAAAAGTGAAAGTTGCTCAGTTGTGTCTCTTTGCAACCCCATGGACTACACAGTCCATGGAATTCTCCAGGCCAGAATATTGGAGGGGGTAGCCTTTCTTTCTGCAGGGGATCTTCCCAACCCAGGGACTGAACCCAGGTGGATTCTTTACCAGCTGAGCCACAAGGGAAGCCCAATACACTATATATCTGTGTATAATATAGATGCCACACCTCTCTCCATGTATCTTTTGATGGACATTTACAGGCTTCTTTTATGTCCTGGCTACCATAAGTAGTGCTGCTGTGAACATGGGGTGCATGTATCCTTTCAAATTAAGAGTTTTTGCCTTTTCAGGGTATGTGCCCAGGAGTGGACTGTGAGATCATATGGCAACTCCATCTTTAGCACTTAAGAAACCTCCATACTGGGCTCAATAGCGGCTGCGCCAATGTATATTTCCACAAACAGTGTAGGAGGCTCTCTTTTTCTCCATATCCTCTCGAGCATTGTTTATAGACTTTTTGATGGCCATTCTGACCAGTGTGTGGTGATACACCTCATTGTAGTTTTGCTTTGCGTTTTTCTAATAATTATGATGTTGAGCATCTTTTCAAATACCCATTGACTATCTGTATGTTTTCTTTGGGGAAATGTCTATTTAGATGTATTGCCCATTTTTTAATTGCTTTTGCTTTGTTATTGAGTTGTATGTTTGTATGTTTTGGAAGTGAATCCCTTATCAGTCACATCATTTGTAAATACATTCTACCTTTTGAGGGTAGTCTTTCCATTTTCTTTGTGGTTTCTCTTGCTGTGCAAGGCTCTTAAGTTTAACTAGGTCCCATTTTAAAACTTTCGTTTTACTCTAGGAGATAGATCAAAAAAAAAGTTACGATTTATATGAGAGTTTTCTGTATTTTCCTCTGCAAGTTTTATAGTATCTAGTCTTACATTTAGGTCTTTATTGAGTCTATTTTTTTATATGGTGTTAGAGAACACTGTAATTTCATTCTTTTACATGCAGCTGTCCAGTTTTTCCAGCACCACTTATTGAAGAGACTGTCTTTTTTCCACTGTATATTTTTTCCTCCTTTGCTGTAGATAATTCACCTTAAACACTTGGGCTTGTTTCTGGACTCTCTTCTGCTCCACTGATCTGTGGGTGTGTTTCCGTGTCAGCATCATACTTATTTGATTACTGTGGCTTTATATTCTTAAGTTGGGGAGCCAGGTTCCTCCAGCTTTTTCTAGAGACTGTTTTGGCTATTTGAGGTCTTTTGTGTTTCCATACAATTAAAAAATTTTTTGTTCCAGTTCTGTGAAAAATATAATTGGTAATTTGATAGGGATTACACTGGATCTGTAAAATGCCTTGAGTAGTATGGTTATTTTAACAATATTGATTTTTAATCCCAGCGCATGGTAATCTCTTTCCATCTGTGTGGGCTTCAATTTCTTTTATCAGCATCTTAAAAGAGTTTTAAGTACAGGTCTTTTGCAGTTAAGTTTATTCCTAGGTATCCTATTCTTTATATGGGTTTCCTTAATTTATTTCTAAAATTTCATTGTTAGTGTAAAGAAATGTAATGGATTTCTATATATTTATTTTGTATCCTGCAACTTGACTGAATTCATTGGTGAGCCCTAGTAGTTTTCTCATAGTATCCTCAGGATTTTCTATGTATAGTATCATGTCATCTGCAAACAAGGACAGTTTTACTTCTTTTCCACTTTGGATTCCTTTTATTTCTTTTTCTTCCATTGCTGTGGAGTCCTGGGTTCTATTTATTCCCCTCTTTGCTTAGTGTGGCCTTCAGAGGGGAACAACTTGAGTGAATCTGTAGGCTATTTTAATAGCCATAACTTTAATAGTGCTCCCAGATGTTATGGAAAATGTACATGCCAGAATTTATAAATGTGTTTCTTTCATTTTCCTTATATACTGTGTACACTGGGGTCAAAGGCTTCATTGATATTAGTCAAAGACAGCAACACTTCCATTTTCCCTATCCCTACCCAACTCACGTAAGTTAGTTCTTGATAGAAAAAAAATCCCATTTGGCTGTGGGTCAAGTGGCATTTCTGAGGAAGGAATGAACTGTTTCTTTTCATTGTATAGACACACTACTTCAAATTACTGCTGCACTTTGAATTCACCCTTGGTGCTTCATTGTCTGACTAACGTACATTCTCC